TGCTGACAGGCGGAGAAGTACCTGGGGGTGTTCGTTGACTACCGGCTTGATATGAGCCAGCAGTGTGCCCAGGTTGCCAAAAAGGCCAATGGGATACTGGCGTGTATCAAGAATAGTGTGACCAGCAGGAGCAGGGAAGTGATCCTGCCCCTGTACTCGGCACTGGTGAGGCCGCACCTGGAATATTGTGTCCAGTTTTGGGCCCCTCACTTTAAGAGAGATATTGAGCTCCTGGAGCGGGTCCAGAGAAGGGCGACTAAACTGGTCAGGGGGCTGGAAAATAAAACTTATGAGGAGCAGCTGAGGGAGTTGGGGCTGTTTAGCCTGGAGAAGAGGAGGCTGAGGGGAGACCTGATTACAGCCTACAAATACAAATACTTGAGAAGGGATGGTGGGGAGGTGGGGGAAGGGCTCTTTACATTAGTGATGGGTGATAGAACAAGAGGAAATGGGTATAAGCTTAGTCAGGGGAGATTCAGGTTGGATGTTAGGAAGTATTTCTTCTCTGAAAGGGTTGTCAGCCACTGGAACAGGCTGCCCAGGGAGGGGGTTGAGTCCCCATCCCTGGATGTGTTTAAGAATAGGGTGGATGATCTACTTGAGGATATGGTTTAATGGGGATTAGGGATGGTTGGACTCGATGATCTCTAAGGTCTTTTCCAACCTAGAAATCTATGAAATCTATGAAATATCCGGTTAAATTAAGCAACTACATCTGTATGTCATGAGATCTGATTATTCTGATTTCAACACATGCATCATGGATTTGCAGGTACATTTAAGAAGCCTGCAAATGAAAAGCTGATTGTCTTGTGCTGCTCAAGTGTTTCGCTGTGCACTAGCATTACATATACTACCTCTCAACTGTCTGTCAGGAAGGAATGATAGGAGTATTTGGGGATGGAGAGGCACCTTAGACAAAGGGAATTTCTATCAGATGATACTTCTGGGCAAAGTATTGTTGTGAAAGGTCTGGGACTCAGTGAAGCACAGTTCGTATCTATGAATCGGAGGTGTGCTGATGAAAATAATCCTCTTTTACCAGCAAGCTCGTGTTATAGCCAACAGAATGTCCTGAAGACACAATACCCAGTCGTAGCTGGTAGTAACGTGCTGATTTTCTTCATGTGCCCAGGTCACCTTCCAGGGCAGAGACTGGGAAATGACGAGAGAGTACCAAGAAGTCTGTCTGCCTCTGAAAGGCATCCTCCTGTAATCAAACATACGAGGGAGCTCTGGACCCTGTGAACTGGCCACGGAGCTGCAGTGCCTTCTTTTGTGCATATAGTTGTTTAAGGATATAAAATATGATATAAGTATTAGTCAAAGATCATCGCTGTTTGGAGTGTTGGCACACACAGCCCTACATTTGAAATTTCTTTTACTTACCTCGAATTTTTCCATCATGATTCTCCTTATTGTTTGGTCTGGTTTGTGATCTGGGAAGCAAATGAAGTCTGTTCTGTATATGCTGCTGCCGAGTTCCCCAGTACCTTTTGTAAACTGGAGAGATACACAACACTCAGTATAGCTAAGTTAATCTGATAATTACAGAAGCTCTGTTCCAGTGCTGCTTTCTTCATCTATGCATTTAAAAAGCACTTATTTGGAAAGAAGTCTGGGCTATGCACTTTTTCTCAGATGGTAAAGTCAGCTGGTATAATCAGACTTCGTAAAATGCTGGGCTGATTCCTTGGTGTAAATATAAGATACTATACAGCCCTTGAAAAATTATTCATGGTTTGGTGTTGAATACTTTCACCTGCCATGTGAACTAACATCTGAAAAGGATGAATGAACCTTTTTTTTTTTTTCCTGTCCCTTTGTTCCTACTTCTGCCGCCACAAGCCATCTCTGCAATATAGTCCAGCATTTTGCTCCAGCCAAGAAAATAAAAATCTAAAGGAAGTAATTTTGGCACAGTCAGGAGGATTTGCCCTAACGGCTCCCATATTGAACCTAACTGGCATGTTTTGACAAAGTTAAATGTCTAATAAAATTTTGCTCAGCTCTTAAGCAGGGCATGCAATCTCTTGAGCAGCTCTGCTTGTTTATACAAGCAAACGAAACCAATACCCAAATTATTAAAAATCCTCTGATGCAAGTAATAAGAAGTATTAACTTAGAGAAGGGCTAGTGAAGCCTCTCTTGTATAACGCTGGCATGTATTGCTAAGTTGTGTACATTACTGTTGTAGAGTTGTGAGTTGTGTATCAGTCTGAATGATTGCCGTAAGAAGTGCTACAGCACTTTCAATTGGCTAACGTTGTGTCCGGTGTGAACCACGCAACAGAAGCCCTGCTCAGGCGTTGCTTCTCTCCTGTCTTAAAGAATGGCAGAAAATTAACAAAGCGAATGAGCGTATGCCAGGCAGGATGTTTATCCTTCCCCCTTTTGTCTACTCTTCTGAGATCAGCCTGGACTCCAGCGTACGACTGCAGCAGTACACTACCTCCAGAGCATTGGTGCTGACCCACTCTATTCCTGCTCTCACACGTCTTTCCTGATCTTCTTTCCTTTTCCTCTCTTCCAGCCAGTTTCCAATGAGAACTTCAGGAGAGTATTTGGGTTCGATTTTCCACCAATCCTGTCCATCTTTTTGTGATGCAGTCATATTTCTTTGTCTCACCAGCATGACCCTCCCTGGTTGTTGGATCTGTCCTTGGAGTTATGTGGGTGGAAGATTACTGAGTAGTCGAGTCCTAAAGTAGGGCAGAAAGGGACTCCCCTTCTGCCTGCCTGTCTGCTGAGAAACGTGGGTGATGTGTGCAACTCTTGGCCATAGAACCAGTTGTGTTCGCTATCGCTATGGTGACCGTTGTCCCAGTAACCACACTCTAGGCTGCATCATATTTACTGTTGAGCAAAACAGTGGCTCCTAACCCACTAAAGTCAGCTGTTTTTTTTTCCTCTAATAGACTTCAGAATCGGAGCAGAGAGTATGTCTCAAAACATCGTGAAGTGACATACTCCTCTATACCAGCACACCACACCACACATACCTGCACGACACACAGTTTCTCTTCATAGACAGACACATTTTATTTTAAACAAGTAGGACAAACCAGGATGTCCATTCAAAGTAACGTTCTTCTTTATTGACATAGCTAAAGATAAGGGCTTGCAGCATGGTACAAGCTTGTGCAAGGTTTGCATATTCCATGTCCCAACTAATAGCTGGAATGAGGTTCTGATGAGCCTTGTTTATCATTGTTAATGGCTGCCCTTGATTGACTACCCATCACCTGATATTAAATATCCTAAAAAGATATTTTCCTAGGCTGAGGCATGAACAGACTCGTGGAATCTAAGAATTTTACTACAAGCTTTTTAGGAAGTTAACAACGCTGTCCAATCCCCTTTTTCCAGCTGGAAAAGAGAAACCACAATAATCATATAGGCTTATGATTCCATGGAATCCATCCTCGAGGTGGTACCAGGTCACTCGAACACCGTTGTCCTCCAGTCTCTTCTTGTAAAGCAAACCATCATCCCTCAGCACATCGTACTCACAGGTCAGGATGAAAGACTCGGGCAGCTGGTGAACAATGGCATCTTCGGCCAACAGTGGGCACAGGTTGGGCTCACAGAACCTTTTCACTGTCTCATAAACTTCAGCTATAAAATCAGTGGGCCTAAGTGGCTTCACACCTCTGACCTTAAATTTTTCCGGGATGTGATCTGGGCTCACCCACTTCCTGTACTTCAGCTTCATATCTGGAGGGATATGAGAGCCCTCCAAGACCTCTTGCATGTGCAGTGCATCCCCATTTAGGTACTGCAAAGCAAAGAAAGCGGCACGTTCCCGAAATAAGAGAGGGACTCCTCGATTTTGATGGTAAGATGGTAAATTGAAGTCCAGTGCCTGAAGGCCTGGGTAGATCAAGATCTGAGCACGTAGTTTGGGGAAGTCTGATCTTTCTGCAAGGGTCTGGCTAACAGCAGCTGCCAGATTGCCCCCAGCACTGTCCCCACAGACAATGATACGGGCAGGATCCACCCCATAGCGCTCTGTATTCTTCATAAAGTGTATGGTGGCATTAAGACAGTCTTCATACGCCGCAGGGTATTTGTGTTCAGGGGCTAAACGGTACCTAGTACACAAAAACACAGAAGTGTAAGAGAAGGAAACGTCATTAGTGTTAATCAGGAAACAGTATCCTGTGCTGTCGTCTAGCCCTCTCATTTTAGGATGTTTTTCCTCCAAGTCACGATACTCACTGCCCCCTGAGCAGGCATTCCTCAGTTAGTGATGGTGGAGAAGCCATAAACTGTGTATTCAATCACGAGGACTCAGTAAAGTAGGATTGTCTTCTAATTAAGAGTCTGACTGAAACTTTGTACATTTCTTAGTCATGCTGAAAACTCCTGTGTATTCTTGTCAGGACAGTTTAATTACTTTGTGCCTCTGCTTCCTATGTGTAAACTGCCAGTAGTACAGTGTGTCTCTTTTTTTCTATAAATCACCATTGTCTGGAGCATCTTACTACATGTTCATATGCTCAGCAGAAGGCAGACTTTTTTTACCTACGTTTTTGACTGGGTTTTATAGATTTTTCTTAGTGTGCCATATATTTCCGTTTGGGTCTTTTCTGAGTATAGCAGGGCATGAACAGCTAAGAGCTGTGACATTTCCCGTTATCATTGGTTGTCACTTTATGGACTTCACTGAATTCTATAGGAATTTCTCTGCAAAACAACATCTCCAAAGCCAGTGCAGCTCTTCTGTGGCACCACAGCAACAATAATCTCCAAACAATAGAACTGGGTAGGGTTCACTTACTGAACAGATACGACTACCGATTCACTTTCTCGGGATAGGTAGCGGCATACTTTTTCATAGGTATCTGAAAAAGAAATATTTTCATTAGTGCTTTGCTATTGCCCTAATCTTTGAGACAGATGTTCATTCCAGAAAGGCAAGTGTTTGTCTTCAGACTTCCTCCCAAATCACATACTGAAACCTCCCTTTATTTTAATTTTATAAAAAGATAAGAATGTTCTTTATACATTACTGTAATTCTTCAGGAAATATCTTACCAAGACTTCCAAATACCCAGCCTCCTCCATGAAAGAAGATGATGCCTCTCCTTTGCCCATCAGAGGTAGCTTTAGGCTGATAAACCCTCACGGGTACTTTGTTAAACTGCAGATCCTGGATAAAGAGCTTTGGATCCACCCCTAGTTTCCGTCCCTGTCGCACGTATCGGCCAAAAGTGATTTGACTGCAAAGTCCAGTCTTCTCCAAAATCTTCCCCTATTAAAAGTAAAAGAAATAAAGTCTTGAGTTAGTCAAGGTATTAAAACTCTGCACCGTACTTATATTGAACTGTATATGAGGGAAATTTTAAAGAAACACAGAGCTTACCAAAAAAAAACCCAAAACAAGTGGTAATGCTGTAAAATAGAAATACACTAAAAGAAGATATAACAGGACAAGAAGTTAGAATAACTCCTGAGGACTGTTCATAGAGGATGCTAACGGCTACACAAGCATCTCCCAAATACTCTCAAAATGGCTTCCTGCACACTAACTACTGATAGGAGGGTCCATTCTAATAGCTTGGTTAGCCCTTGGTTTTGGCCTTAAACCAGTGGAAAACAGTGAGGAAAAGCAATTCCACGGTTGTTTTTCTTGATAGGAAGGCCCAGTCCTAAGAATTCAGAGATCCCAGGACAGAGTCAGAAAACAGTATTTAAATTTGCCTAGATTAGTTTTACCAAAAACGAGAAGTTCTACCTTTTATCATACCAGCTGGAATCTGAAGAATCAGATTGAAAAATCTAGGCTTCACATACAGCAACCTGACCCCTCTTGTCTGATAAAAATAAAGTGGTCTGATTCAAGAAAAACAATTTTCCCAAGCTCTCCCATTCTACAGACTGTAAAAAATTTCCTTCCATCACTCAAATCCAGTGCCATTCTAATATTGTGGCTGAAATTTTATATAGGCCATCCGAACTAGCCATCTTGGAGTATACATTTTACTTGTCAGTATTGTCCTGCACACCTTTGTGCTTATTCTTGTTTCATTGATACTTGGTAACAACAATGAAATGTCATATATAGAAGCAGCAATAAAAGCTTTAATATTAATAAAAGCATACATTAATATTCCTGAATTAGACCACGGAACTCAGTGAATTTGCAAATCTGAAGTGCCGAGTTGTGTTGTGCAAGTTAGTTACTGCTTTTTATTTGCACCACAGATTTACGGAGCAAAATAAGCAGCTTCCTTCCCCAATGCTCTTGCAATGATCTTGCAAGCCGGAATATAAATCTGATGTAGCAAGTGAACAAACAAGAAGCTGGGAACCAAATTAATTAATGGAATCAAACAAATAAACCGTTACAGTTCATACTAAACAAGATCCCAGTTTTAAATGCCCAATGAGAGTCTGTCTTTATCCATTCCCTTGTTGTCACCTGCCAGTGGGATTGAGGGGAGCTGGGGAGCTTTGGCAGTAAATTTCAAGAGGATGTAAACGGTGTAAGAAACAGCGTGGAGGAAAACAAAGTCCGTGTGATAGCAAAGGCGATGCTGTGGCTAAAGGAGTGAAGGAGAAAACTGAAGATTTAAAGAAATTGGAAGATGGAGCAAGTGGCAGAGGAAGAGAGCAGGAGAGCTGTAATGCCGTTACGCAATGCCGTAGCAGGGAGCCCAGGGATTAAGGAAAGCAGCCCTAACCGGATTTGGTGCCATAAATGTCAGCCGTGGCGGGAGCACTTGAAGGGCTCTAGTTTTCCTTGTGCAAGATGACTTCGCCTGGAGCTGAGGGCAGTTATCAGACAAAACACCAGCTCAGCTCCCAACTCCAGCCTGAAATCACCACCGCCGTTTGGCAATCTCCGCTAACGCGCCCTGGCACGCCGCTCCTCCACGCCAAACGGGCTCTGCCCCTGCTACCAGCCCCGTCCCGGCGGAGGGCGCTGCCCCGCAGCGCTCCCCACGATGCGGAGCCGCGGGCATCACACGAGGGGCCCTGCGGGTCCTAATCCACGCTCCTTTTTTTTCTCCTTTTCCAGCCTCCCAGCGCAGGCCGTGGCTTGTCCGGGCGGC